AATCTCGACAAAACGCGCACACACCGTGCCCCGCCTCCTTCAGCGCCCGCGAGCGATGCTAAACAGGTGCGAGAGGCATACCCCAGCCCTCCCACACACGTTGCACGTCGCCCCAACATCGCGTACGGCCGCTCCCCAGGCGCCGCCCCCCAGCGAAAGACCGCGCCCTCGCGCCCCGCCACCGCACCCAGACGCCCCCAAAACTCACCCGCGGCTCCCATGCACCCCGCCGCACCCCCGCGCGCAGTATGGACGCGATCGGGGGAGAAAAAATCTCGGCGGTTTCGGCGCATTTCATGGGCGCGTGGCGCGCGGCGCGAGAAAATCGCGCGTGCCCGCCCGCGCAGACGTCCGCCCGCGGCGGGCTTCGGCACACACGTCCCTCGGGACGACGTGCACCGCGCGCCGTCGCGTGCGGACGCGTCCGGGCAGTTTGATTTGCGCGGGAGCGGGGAGGGGGTACGATTTGGGGGACGCCGCGGCGGACCCGGGGAGCGAGGGCGCGCCGTGCACGAGGTGCGGGCGGCCCCGTGGGGTGCGGAACAGACGCGTTAGGCACGCGGCGCGCTCGGCGTCGTGCGGCGCGCACCCGCCTCGTCTCCACGCCTGGCGCGCCCACACAACGCCGCCGCGCCCTCGTTGGTCGCGGCGGGCGGCTCCCCGTGGCTCATGCGCCCGACGCCCGCCTTTGTGGCCCGGCAGGACGTCGCGGGGCACACGTACTTACTTTTGCCCGCTCGCGACGCCGACGCCGCGCCGCGCCGTCTGACCTATGTACCTAGTATCTACGCATCAATCCATGCCGCTTCCCCCTCGGCGACGACCTCGGCGGGACTCCCACGCGCTGGCGGTGACAACGGAGGTCAGCCGTTGTGTGCACGGTCTCAGGCTGTACTGCCGCACTCACCCTTGTGCTCGCGCGGAACACGCGACGCGGGCTGGCGGCTGTCGAGGGCGCACCGGGATTCTGAGGGCGCACCGGGAGTCTGAGGGCGCGAACACCGTCGGGAACGCGGCCTGTCGGTAGCGGAAGATCTGCAGAGGTGAGTGTCACGTTGTCGCCTGGCTCGGAGCGACGGACCACTCACCGGGCTGTGTCAGACGGCCTCGGGAGCGCGATTCGGCGCGCGGTCGACTGCAAACGACGTCGAGGCGGGATTTCCGACTCCAGAACGAGGGTGACGCTCGAGTCCCGCGATCCTGTAAAGAGTTAGCGATGCAATGTACGCGGCAGTCCATGAGGAGGACCAGCTACGCCCGACTCGCGCCCGGGACCTACGCCGACTAGATACATATGTACAACGCCCCATCCCATGCCTCGCGCAACTACAGCACCGCTTCCATCCCGCCGTGCCGTGGGCCCGCCGGTGACGATCTACACAGTGCGCCCCTCTCCCACGGCGCCGCCGGGAACATGCCTCTCCGCGACGTCCGCGCTGTGTACGGGCGGTCAGTATTTCGTACCGCATCTGCGTTCTGGAGAGACACACTCACCTCCCGGGAGGTCCAGCTCGCGAACGAACACAGTCACAGTCGGCGGATCTCGTCGCAGTGAGTAGTCTGATTCTACTGCCATCCAAACGCGAGTGAGGCACTCACCATCGAGTTCCCCAGCGTCCTGACCATCCCCGAGGGTCCCCATTGCGCGGGCCGAGGCGCTGGCGATGCGAGAACGTGCGGGCACCACGGTACCATGCGTACACGCCGTCGTGAGGGGTGCACTGCAGGACCGGATCAGTGAGTACTTCGTCGTCGATAGCCGAGGACGACTCACTGATGATGCCGTCTCTCCGGGTCAGTTGGACGCCTTCGTGCGGAGCGGACAGGACGGTACTTGCGGCGCACACCCGCGCGTTCCAAAGCCACACCATCCGGGGGCGAACGTGGGCGCAGCGTATCGCGCGGCGGCGACTGCGGAGGGCTATGGAGGGCTGGTCAGTATGTGTGCGCGCGCTGGACCACGGCTTGACGGGCGTTCGAACGCGCTGTGCACGCCGCGTCGTCTGTGGAACGAACGCTCACCTCAGAGCGCGTACCGAGGAGCCACGGCCGCGCTGTCTACGTACCGCTCGCGCATCGCGGACAGAGGGCAAGATATCGGAAAGAGCTGTGAACCAGTAGGTCAGCGGTCATCTTGGACACCTTGCACGATGCTGACATACCTTCTGCATGCATAGATACCGCAGGAAGACGATAGAAAGCGGAGCAGGGAGGGAGGGCAGGAGAAGAGGTATGCGCGTGCCGCGTCCAACGCGAGCACATACTTATACTCGGCGTGATTTAGGGCCGCCCTCGTCCTTCCGACCATACCGTGGTCCGTGCGTCGACTGTGTACCGGAGCCAAGCCCACTTCCGTCACACGGAAGCAGCTGCTTACGCAGACGGCCCCCGAGGTTACGAGAGGACTGGAAGGACAGCCCGAGTCCGCTGGGCGGCGGGCCAACCACACCACGCCACGGGCAGCCGATGGAGATGGTGCGAGCGGGAACGGACACGCACGGATGCGCCGCGGGTGGCAGAACCACAGATACGCGGCGCGGCGCGTTTCACCAACCGGTCTCGACTCGTAGATGGGGGTTGCATTCGCTTCGGGCGGCCGGCGCTCGGTACGCGAACACACAGGGACCGCCCTCGTTTCGAGCGGACACGGGCGCAGGTATCGCCGTGACGGGCTAGCCTCCGTATTGGCAAGGACACGCTCGTCCGCCTCGGCCGAGACGGACAGGTTGGCAGAGAGGGCAGCGTGCTAGAGGATGCCCTGCACATAGTGCGTCTCGCGGGCAACCATCCTCGCCATCCATGCATGTTCGGTACCTGTAGCAGCAGTGAATATATCTCGTGAGGACACCCCCGTGTTCGTGTATAGTTTTTAGCGCATCAGGCACGATTACATCGACGGGCGATCGTACGAGAATGCAAAGGAAGCGGGTTTGCGATGTGCGCGTACCTCGGCCGCCTCGCAATTCGCGCGTACCGCCGTCATCGTACTCGCTCGTTGAGTAATGTACAGAAAGGGCCAGTCGTGACGACCTCGTGCAACGCCCCATCGCATGCAGAGCAGTCGGTCGAGCGTGCTAGAAGACACGTACATGGTCAAACAGTCTCGGTGGGTGCGCCGTAGTACATTGCCAGATTATGGAACACCACAAACGCTTTCGCAGCTCCCAAGTCGCTTCCCATTGCAGTATATATTCTCGGGACCAACACACTGGAGCCGCGAAAGACGAGATCTTTGAATCGACGGCAGAAGGCCCAAAGTTATTAAGATGTGCCATGAATCGATGCGGCGCCGGGGAGAGCCTATGCTACACAGATGGCCAGGACGACCCTCAGCCCGGCAGGGTGACCAAATATGCAATGGAGAATGTAGGTACGCACTGTACTACATTCACGAGTCCAAGCCCGGACGGATGTGCACAAATATATGCCCGTGTGTTGTATGGACTCCAGAAAAAGCCTGCGAACCCGAACGAGTGCAGCGTATAGTCCCACAGATCGGGGCCGTCCCCGTCTAAATGAGCATATTCTATCGGGAAAGACTGCATGTGCTTCGACATTTGTGCTACCTGAGCTCGAGAACAACACGTATACATTATTTCAGTAACACACAGCATGTACCAGACATGTGCATGCCATGCGGGAGGGTGCTGGAAGCGGCGAGGCGATTCCCAGTGAGTTACACCATGCGAGATCGACTATGCCCGCCGGTCGAGGCCGCCGCCGCTGGATCCCCCTGCTTCCTATCGCAATCAGGAAACACGCACGCGCATATCAGTGTCGTCATGGATCCAGAATATTTGGCAGGAGTGCTAGGCGATGTAAGTAAACAGACAGTTGCCGCAAGAGCACGCGCTGATTACCAGACTGCTTGCCGCAGGTTTCTACCGGGCTACCTGTACACTTCTGTGGGGTCTCCGGACGTCTTGGTATGATGTTTACATCATGCTATTCAGTAGACCGTAGCGCGCCAGTGTGCGCGGTGCTGGACGTTGCGAAGGCAGCCAACACGGCGGATACATTCGAGGTAGCGAGCCTTGGCAACCACTGGCACCGACTCGAGCATGCGCCGGTCCGAGATCGAGCCAGATATTTGGGTTCTCGGGTACCTCACCAGATGCAAACAGATATGAGCCTCCGTTATACACGCCAAAGCAGATATAGGAGTGTGAGGTCAAAAGCGGACGTCCTGGGTGAGCCAGAGCGAAGGCAAGAACGAACGAACGGCTTGAGCCACGGCGGCTCCGAACCTCCTTACCAGAATAGGCAGGCGTGCAGCCTGATACCCATTCCCACTATGTCTGCTCGCGCACGCACACCCCTTGGACGTCCTCCATGACCACAGCTGGTTCGAGGACATGGCTGCACATCCCTGCGGCGTTGAGTATTGCTTAGCGACCAGTGCGAGGGTGACGTCTGCCCAGATCTTGACTGCGGGGTCAGCCGAGAGCGCCGGCGGGCATGGAACCGCCTCCGAATCATCTGAGATCGGCGACCAACTGTAGCCGTTCGCGTTTATTCATAAATGGTCCCTAGATTTTTTATCAGAGCGACGTGTATCTTTCCCTGTCAGTGCGCTATTCATACGAGGGGCAGAAGTGAAGTCGGGCAGGAATAAAAGTGTGAGGAGCATACTAAGGCTGCACACATTGCCATTCCTGCTCCCCTCATTTCTGGTCAAATGAGACCGATCAGGGTGTTCGGCAGAGCTCCGAAGAGCACGGCGCAACCAGTGAGACGGCCGAAAATTGAGCGGAGATGGACATCGAGGCCGTGCAAGAATAAATCACGGAGCACCCTGAATATTGACATTTCCTGAGTAAAGCCTGATCACGCCGCCCACCATCCGCCGCTGTGTGATTGGTCCAGCGGGAAGAAATGAGGTGATATGCTACAAGCGAGCGGGTAGCTACGAGTCCAGAACGAGCGCGATCCAATTGCAGAGGCCCCCGCGACGGTAGCCGCTTGCCGTCACCCTCGCCCCGGCGGTGTCCACACGCGGCGCAGGACAATTCCGCCCCGTGTCTAGACGGACTCCGACATCGCTCAGGGCTAGCCACGCACCTGTGTTGTTTGACTCACGAACGCGGCTTGCATCCTCTGCCACTTCCTTGCCCCTACTCTCTCACCTCCCTCCCATGTCGCTACCATCACTCTCACCCACATCTGGCACATCCTCCCTATCGCTATACTACACTGCAGCAATGCATTCGACACGCACAGCTCACCGCGCTGGAGGTCTCGTGCGAAGCACACAGCAACGGCGGTGAGTAAAAGCGACACAGTTTGCAAAGGTACAATGCTGGGAGCTCAACACAACCTAACCAGACTGCTAGAGGCCACAGTACAGAAGCTTCTGGACGTACAACGACGGATCTGGTATGTTAATCTCGCAGCTCGCCGCTCATCTCCGAAGCTCCCCTCATCACTTGAAGGCGACAGCCCTACCAGCACGAAGACCGTGTTGCAAGACAACCGCCAGACGACTCACGAGGCCGCACGAATCGCCCTGGACAAAACGCGCACACACAGTGTGCCTCACATCGTGTTGCAGGACGCTGGATGTGTTTGGGGAGCTGGCGGCACTTCGCGAGCACGGTGTGTGCTCATCACCACGTTCCGATAGTGTGATCTGCACGAAGGTGAGCCTCACGGCATGCACAGCGGTGTGAGCTGACTGGTGACACCACCCCCGCGCTACAGTTCCACCCACCTCACTACTTTCGACTCGCAGCCGTACCACTCACGGCGGCGAGAATTCCAGGACAACCGCATCCGGGCGCGTGTAGCAAGCTTCTCCTGCGGCAGCAATGGCGAGCAATCCTCATCCACGGGTGGGCACTCGGAAAAGCCCATCGCCTTCGCACGCAGCTCTCTGGGGCGTCGATGACGCCAGAGAACCCCTTCTTGTCCGGGAGAGTGCAGGAGCATCTCCCCAACACACTTGCGGTGCACGGCAGGTTCAGGCGGTGGGGAAACTGACGGTTGACGGCACCGGGGACCTCGTACGACGGATCTGCGGTCCCGCTTGCCGCTTGCGGGTGCAACACCTACCGCTCAGCTTCGTGTCCGTGCCGGCCCGCGAAGAAGGACGCACTCGCCCTTGCACGAGCAGCACGAGCGGCGAAGTCACGGCCTCGAGCGGGGTACTCGGAGAAGCTCAACTCTCACGTCGCTCTCGGGTACATCCGTCGGGATCTCTTCTCGTCCCGTACCTGGGCGTGCTGGAAGATATCCCGAGGGCGCCCTCGGAACGTGGAGAGCGAGGCGAACGGACTTACAGCGGGCAACATCGATGCGCTCGTACGCGCAGCCTGCGGATCTCCGGGTCGAAGCTCACAAGTAGACGATGTACCACTTACCTTCGTGGACACGCCTGGAAGTGATCCCACTGCTCCCCTCAGTGGTCCTCATACGTGACATGTTCGTTGCGGCGGGTGCAGGATGTGCCCGCTTCGCGCGGCGGATTCGAGCTGAAGAGCGCGGCACGCGGGCACTCTTAACTCCTGGTCAAGCTCGGAACAGGCGCCCCGGGCGTGCAGCGCAGATGACCGTCCTGGTCGAGGCATTTGCCAGTCTCGCCACGGCGTTGCATCTGGCGAGTTGCACTTCCAGGTATGGCATCATCTTCGCGCTCGTCGAACAGAACGGACTCCGCACTCGCGGCACGAACTCGAGTCCAGGGTGGTGGGGTACCCGCAATGACACCGGTGGCTCGCGTGCGAGGTCGCGAAATCAGCGCTGTGCGGGCTCGCACAGCGAAGAATTCGTCAAAATGCTGTTAAACTTACCAGGTGCGCAACATACCTCCGTCTCACACGCACGGTACTCATTGAAATTGACAATGATACTCCCGCAGCGCGGACCCACCGTCAAGTCCCTCGCGCGACGTCGTACGGGCGCTCCCATCACCTGTCAAGTGTCTCCCGATAGCGTGGCGCGGAGGACGGCTGCAGTCGACCGAGCTGGCAGCCTTGCCCCTCTGCAGCGGAGGGTGGGCGATTCTCACCTTTCGGCGCTGGTGTTCCTGTCTCCCTGGTCGCGCAGAGTGGAGTTCCTGGGCACAACTTGACCTGAGTACCAGGGCACCCGCAACGACACCGGCATCCAGATCTCTCGCTCAGATCTCTGCGCAGCGCCGGATTGAGTGCAAGTCTGCGAGGTCGCGAGCACTGCAAAGAATCAGTCCGAACGGTATCAGTAGTATCCCAGGTGCGCAACATACCCTTTTTCGCGTGTACCGTGCTCACTCGGCCGGCATAGAAGGACGTGGCCGTCCCGGGCAGCCGCCGCGAGCTCTCGCGCGGGCACTCCCATCGGCTGTGGAGCATCTCCCGGGAGCGCGGCGTGGCGGTCCGTCCCGGCCGAAGAGGCTGCAAATCTCGCGCAGAGCGTATGACGACTCGCTCTCTGGGAGTACGGCATCCTTCGCGCGGCCTTCCTCAAGACAGTGCCTAGGGGCTGCATCTCTGCGAGCACTGTTTGGGAGTGCGACGAAGCCTAGCGGATGCTCGCAGGCTCACCTGGTGAACGTCCTGCACCGCACTTCACCAACGGTACGGCAAGAGCCTCGGGCGCGCGACATACCTCTCTCGCGCAGCTTCCGTCCCGCGTGCGACACCTCTCCCGCGTCGCGGCCGGTTCTTCCCGCTGGGAGCACGCATTCAGGGTCCCCGAGGTAAGATGACAAGTGCGGGCCGCCGCGAGCTCTCGCGGTCCCCCGGCTAAGCGACGGCAGGGTGAGCGCCATTTTTGTCTTGCGCGAAATCCGGTGTCTGGCTGATCGTGCGCTGCAGACATGTACCAGATAAACAGAGTGTCGCCAGAAACGAGCCCAGGAGCGAGAGCGAGCAGGCGAGGCCGGCCGTGGTCGTGGTGCAGAGCAGAGACGCGGCGAGAGGCACGACGCGACTTGGCCATTTCGAGCAGTGCCAGAATAGGCGCCCGTTTTGCGCGGCGTGCGCGAAGTGGTTTCTGGGTCGTTCTGGTGGGGGTAGCTTCGCGTTTTTCGAGTTCCTTGCAGTGTATCAACGTAGTGTATCAATGCGAGTATTTTGAGACCCAGAGAGCGAGTCCGAGTCCGAGTGAAGTCCTCCGAGTGCCTCGTATCCTCCGAGTGCCCGCTCCCCGTACCTCCTAGTACCCACCCCAGCGTCTACCTGGCCCCCAGAATCCACGCACGGCGTCTACATAGCCCCCAGAATCCACGCAGAGGACAGAATTCCATCTGGGAGATCGTACTCAGCATCCGCGAGATACCCCGCCAGCCGAGATCCCCCTCGTCCGTCCGCGCGAGTCCTTGGCGCCCGCGTCCCCGCACATCGCGTACGCCTGCCCCGCACCGCCACCACGCACCGCCACGCCGCGCACACACAACTCCATCTCGCCCGCGCCCTGCGCATTCGTGCCCAACGAAATATATTTCTGTCCTATGTACACGCCGCCCCCTGTCGGCACTCCGCCCCACCTGCACTAGGAGTAGGGTCGCGCGGGCGTAACTGGACGAGTAGGCGGTGCAGATGCGAGTGGGGAGCTTGGGAAGGGGTATGCGGTACCCGACTCGTGTGGTGGCTGCGATGAGAACGATGGCTTGGCAGGAGATGAAGACGCTGTGGGAGGAAAGGTATATGATGAAGAGGGGCCGGGAGTAGGGAGATCGGACGGAGAGAAGGGCGACGATGTTCGCGTGTTGAAGACGATTGGTGATGGTGCGGATCGCGAGGGCGCGCGCTCAGGCAGCAAAGAAGATTCGCATGAGGTCGGGGCGTGTCTGTGCAGCACTCGCAGTATATGTGAACATGCTTATATGCGCGCATATAGTCAGCTTGGTTGACGTAACAATCAGGTCCGCACGTACCTGCACTAGTGAGCATGTCGAGTACGATCCATACTGCTTCTTCCCCCTCACATTCGGAATCATCCAGCCCAGAACGACTCCCTCGTCGTGCAAGTGCGTCCCACATCTCGGCAAGACCGGAACCGCTGGGACTCCCCATGAGTGCACTCGCGCTAGACGCGAGACTACTGCTCAGAGTCGCGGACGCCTCACGTGAACCCCC